CCTTCAAAACATAGGAGGAAGAACAGGGCCTTCAGAATGGGCACCTCCATCCATGGGCCACTCTGATGTGTTTCTCAGTGACAGAGATGGCTTCTGTGAGGGGTAGCATGGGAGGTAGACAGGAATGAAGGCTTTCAAGGGTGAATTCCACATCTCCTAAGGCTCCCAAGGAAAATCTGAGCTGCTCTGAGGTATCAGAGTGGCGTTCCCAGGGGGAGATGCTGATTGGGGAAGACCCACTTCTTGAATTCTTATGGTCAGAATCTTTCTTCCTAAGAACTCTTTGCCAGTTACCTTCCTCCATATTGAGCCCTGATGAGAAACTAGAAGACAGGAGGACAGGTTTCTAGTGAGGCAGCCTGGGGAGGAAGCTGGTAGCAGCATATTAGGGCAAGAGAACCTTCTAGAGGTGTGTCGGAATCACACAGTTAGTTATAGATGATTCAGGGGTAACACTACTGACCCTCAACAATTGTTTTGCTCTCATTTCCAATTACAGGGATCAGAAGAGCTCATTGTGCCCAATGAAAAGCAGGGAATTCACTACGTCTGCTTTGTACAATCTTACGATGTAAAACAAACAAAAAACAACAATCTTAAGATGGGCTCTTAACAAAGCTCTACCAAAGCTGTCTCTGATGTTTATAAACATTCAAAGCTCTGAAACTAATTTTGATACCATCTCTAAAATACAGATTTATTTAATGATAAAGTTATAGTCAGAGTCACTTCCTCATATGTTCCCCCTCCCCGCCCCCTGTTGTTCAATGTTAAAAGCTTCACGTCTCTCCTTCTTTACATCTCTGTTTACAGGGCACAGGGACACAGTTACAGGTGCACACAGATCTGTTGGGATCTCTGTGACTGTGTCTGTGTGTCCCAGATCTGTTGTTTTTAGGGACCTTTTGTCATACTCTAGCCTTATTGTTCTCATCCCTTTTATCATTTCAGATTCTATGCTGATTGACTAAAAGTAATTCTAGGTAGCCCTCCTCCTTTCCTTTTTAATTTACTATGTTTAGACTCCTACACTCCTATTTTCTCAAATAATCTAAACAGTTAAAAATAACTTTAGTACATATTTTTTAGATTCATACATAACACACACACAGACACAGACACACATACGTCAAACCCACTGTCTCCGAGTACAGTCCACACTGCAGGACAGAGCCAAACTGCCCCATAGGATTACCCAGGCCATGATCTCAAAGGGTCCAACTGGACGGGAGACTTTTTATGATCATCTAGGAAGTAGACAAGTGTATCTTTCTCCTCAGGAGCAGCTGGTAGATTCAATCTGCCATCCTGTTGGTGAGCAGGAGAGCTCTGTCACCACCGTGTGCCTAGCACTCACAGATGACACTGGTAGAGTGGAAAGCCACGTCATCTGTTTCTCAAGTACACTCTCTTCTGCATGTTATAACTCTTCTCCCTCAGTCTTTACCAGCTAACAAATCCATGCTCATCAGGTAAGTCATTAATTTCATCTTTGCCTGAGCAAGTTCAAGGAGCCTGGTGGCATAGACCATTGGACCTGCTAACCACAAGGTCAGTATTTCAAGTCCATCAGCAGCTCAGAGGGAGAAAGATGGACATTCTACTGCCATGTTGTTGTTTGTTGTTGTTGTAGTAGTACCATAGAGTTGGAACTGACCCATAGCTGACCCTCCAGCAGGTTTTCAGAGGCAGTTAATTGCACTGGACGGGAATGCCCATCTTTCTCTCGTGGAACAGCTGAGGGCCTCAAACCATGTGCCTTCAAGATTGCAGTACAGCTTCTTCGGCTGCCATAAAAATTTACAGACTCAGAAACACAATGACGTGTTGCCATGAGTGAGAACTGGTTTAGGTTTGTGTCAAACAAACACATACAGGCACATGTGCCCTCCTCTTCCCATTTCTACACTAGAACACACACATTCTCTCTCTCTCACACACACACACACACACACACACGTTTTGACATATTCAAATGCTTTCTCTTGCCATCCCCAATTGAGCTCTTTTAATATATGCTTTCCCTTCAGTTTTTCTCCTTCAGTCATACTGCATAGAGATTTGGCCTACTTATCTCTTTTAACTCTTTTTTTGTTCTCATGACTCCCTAGTATTACTGACGTAACTTCACCATAAATTATCACTATTACAGCCTCAAAGGCTTTTGTCATTACTAACAGAAAGTAGCCGTTTTTTAATAATACAGGATTTATATCTTTCTAATAAATCATTCCCCCAACTATATCTGAAGGTCACTGTCTCCTCACACTCACTCCAGCAGTTGATTCTAAAATTGTTTCAGTTCCAAGGTACTTAAAATTTTTGTTGATGTATGTGTCTTTTTTTAAAAGAAAATTTTATTACGAGCATTAGGGTGTTTATATATGAAATAACTGCTCACTTCATGTGCTGAATGTTGTCCTTAAATAAAATGAGAGTAATTCTTAGTTGTTGTTATTTGTATTTCATATAATTATTATTAATAATAAAAAATATGGCAGTCTCCGCCATTGAGATTTATAGTTTCTGAGACCCAAAGGAGCATTAGTTTTTCAACACAACAGCAACTGGAAAGATGGGGGTAGGTGAGTGATGGAAGGGAGACTAATGGAGTGGTGGGCTGGGGTGGACTCCCGGGAACATCTTAGAGCTCTAAGGACCTTCAAAGGGTAGCTCCACTAGGGCAGAAGGGGGTGTGGCGACGTCTCAGGGTCCTCAAGGGGTGCACAGTGGAGCAAGGGGGTCTCGCAGGGGAGGGCTCGGGTGATTGAGGGGGTACAGGGGGACCTGAGTGTTATGCTAGGACTTGCAGGGGTTGTGAGGGGCGACTGGGGATTTGCAGGGTTTGCTGGTGGTTCATAGGGAAGCGCGTAGCGGGGCACGGAGGAACTCGCTGGGGGTTCGGGGGGAGACTCAAGGGTCACAGCAGACATGGAGGACTCGCGGGAGTGTAATCCTGGGGAAGGACAAGGGGAGACAGGTGACATGAGGGAGACTCACGGGGAAGGGGCATGGAGGAATCCCTAGGGTCTCCCATAAGGCACCAGGGACTTATGGGAGGAGAATGGGTGGGGCTAGCAGGGGATGAAGGGGATTCAGGCAGCTCCAGGGGGTTCTCAGGGCAGACACTAGGGTTTTCTAGTGTTGCACTCGCCTCTGTCCTTACTCTGGTGATACAACTTTGGTGACTTTTAGAACCTCCGGAGAAATGATCTTATGGTAACACCCACAAGCCCAACAAGGGCTGGAGACTTATCTTCCCACATGTGACACATTATCCTTTGCGTGTCTATTTCATGGAATGTAATGTAAAGCTTCTTCCACACTTCCAAGAACTATTACAGCAGCATACTCATCCCTTGTCAAGAGCCATAGTTAATGGTAATGAATCCTACCTCATGAAATGTTAAGATCTGGAGTTAAACCATCCCAAAGAGCATGCAATGCATTTCTCAAGCTGAAAGAATGAGCAAAATTTGAAAAACTTTTAAAACATTATGTTTGCAATAAAGATTCTGGATGCAAAATATTAAATGATGGAGAAGGCACTTAAAGAAGATAAAAGTAATATACATAGTCACTGTACCAAAAATAATTCGTGTGCTTTTGACAATTTTAGAAAGTAGCAAGTGATCAAGAAACAGCATTATTAACAGAGGAAGTCCAAGCTGAACAGAAGGCAATGCTGAAAGTCAGTACTGATGGAATACGAAATGGGGAATCTCAACAAAGAGACGGTGCCCTGGATGTGCTCTCAACGCTATGCCAAGAAATTTGGATGACAGCTACTTGGCCAAAGGCTGAGAACAAGTAAAGATGTTCAATCTTTGCACTTCTATTAAATGTTATGGCTGAAGTTCTACATAATACAACACAGCATGGAAAGATACACAAATTGGAAAGGAAGACATTAGCTGTCCTTAACTGCGGGCTATAAAACCACATACATAAAAATCTTAAGGACTTTACAAAAAGGGTACTAGAACTGGCAAATTAATTCAGAATTAATACAAAGTTCAGTGTATCAAAACTAAGGATATTTCTCTACAAGCTAGCAGAAAACAAATGCAAATAAAATTTAAAATAAAAATGCTTAAAGATGAGTTATTAAGACTTAAGAACAATTAGACTGATAAAACTTAAGAGCAGAAATGAAGGCCATAAAACTGTAACTTTGTTGTTGTTGTTATTAGGTGCTATAGAGTTGCCTGCTATCCATAGTGAGCCTATGTATAGCAGCTCTGAACCCTTCCCTGTCCTGAGCTAGTCTCACTAATTCCAACATACCAACCCCCATTACCCCAGTTACTGTATCAGTTCATCTCGTCCAGGGTCTTCCTGTCAATGTAAATGCCAATTTAACTTTGCTGTTTTGCTTGTACTGTCTTCTCTCAATTAGTACAGGTCTTTGTTCTAACCTGTCTCACAATCTGTAGAATGGAGAATAAAAACATTCAGAGAGAACTGACTACAATGAATGTTGCTTATTTAGTTTACATATTTTGTATTTCTTTATACTAAGAAATCAACTGAGGTACTTCAATAAATGGATGCAACATTGGAAATGTTCAGTCATCTGGGAAGACTGTTATCCAACCAGCTGACTGAACAAATCAGTTTGGAATGTGTCCATCCCAAAGACATGTGATTCAACAGAATATTAAAGTTATTCAGCATTATAATTAGTATCAGGAACTCTGGTGACAGTGCATACTGTATCAGGCTGCTAACCAGGTTAGCCGTTCAAGTCTACTGACTGCTCCATGATAAAAGAATGGAAAATCTCCCATAAAGATTTACACAGCCTTGGAAACTCTAGGTGAGGTCACAATAAATCTGCATCAACTTGACAGCAGTAGGTGGATGGGAATTATCACGTAAAAGCAATATTTTGCTGAAGGTAATTAAAAATCAGTTGCAAGGCACTTTCCTCGTGGGGACAGCATAACGCTTCCATCTGCTTGCTAGCCAGTTGCATGGTCCCCTTGTAAGGGTCAGTGAGCAGAATGAGCACCTCACAGGAACAGAGTGGATGCTCCAGTAATCGAGAGCTGCTTTTGAGATGTTGTGATGCACAAAGAGATTTGGAACTTGCTATTGGTGGAGTTCTACGGGTTGAACAGCAGATTAAAGATAATCTCCAAGAGGTGAAAGCTAAAATTCATAGTTGCATAAGTCGTCACCTGGAATGCCTTAGAAGCCGTGAGGTATGGTTGTATGAACAGGTTGACCTCATCTATCAGCTTAAAGAGGAGACACTACAGCAGCAAGCTCAGCAGCTCTACTGGTTATTAGGTCAGCTCAGTTGCCTTACTCATCAGTTGGAGTGCTCCCAAAACAAAGATCTAGCCAATGAAGTTTCTGTGTGCTTGGAGAGACTGGGCAGTTTGACTCTCAAACCAGAAGATTCAACTGTCCTCCTGTTTGAAGCTGACACAACTGCTCTACGTCAGACCATCACTACATTTGGATCCCTGAAGACCATGCAAATTCCTGAGCACCTGATGGCTCATACTAATTCATCAAGTATTGGAACTTTTTTGGAGAAAAGAGGTTACGTTCCGGTGCTGGAGCAGAAATCATCGTCCAGCACCACAGCTGTCCCTCTGAGTGAATGGCTCCTTGGAAGCAAACCTGCTAATTTGCATCAGGCTCCTTATGTTCCTAGCACCAATCCCCAGGACTGGCTCACCCAAAAGCAAACCTTGGAGAATAATCAGACTTCTTCTAGAGCTTACAATGTCTTCAATAATGTCTGGGTTGACCAAAAAGACTTAGAAAACTGGCTTCTCAGGAGTCTGCAACAAGAAGTTCCTGAAAAACAGAATTGCCAAAAAGACAACATTTGTTCCACTAGTTCTTTCTCCACTGAAGCTGAAAAAGTTGGAGAACTTGAGCTTCTTGAGCAAGAGGTAGACCTTTCTGATTGGCTCTTGACTCCTCAGGAATGCTATAAGCTGGAGAAACCTGAGAGTGGCAGCTATGAAGCCAGTGA